ATGCGAATGGGCGTGAACGGCCCAACCCCCAAGGGCGCAGATGGCACTGGGGACGGGGGGGACATAACCCCCCCAGATTTATAGTGACCCGATCCGTCCCCCCCTCACTATCCCTACAAAAGGTGACAAAAATCGGTAAAACAGAGGATTAACCAATGTTTTCGCTATATGTACATTAGCCAAAGTAGAGTGTCCCGGCCCGCCGCTGCTTCAGAATCGGGTCGGGACAGACGCAGGCTGATCTACACCGGTCACCATTACTTTGTACCTACGTTCTCACTACACGCTGTTCTGTTGTCAATAAACACACGATGTCTTCATGCCACCGACGTTTACACTCTCTCTGTGTGTGTGTGTGTGTGCTACGACTCCTCCTGAGTGACGTCGCCAGGGTCCTATGAGGAGCTAGTAGCTGCCTTTATCGTGCCTGTAGGAGCGAACCGGTAACCATAGTGATCATATACCATCTATGACTGAGCTGAGTCGGTGATTTTCTGAACTGAACAAAATCGACTGTATAAATGCCACATAAAGGCAATGAAGAGACAAAAAACAAAAACAATCACCTCGTTTTTTCAAAAAACAAACAATGTAAGTATCCTATGCCTGTTGACTTTCCCAGATGTGGCAGATTAGATTTGTTAAGGGGAATAGCTAGTCTGACAATAAGGCTTTTGCACTTAGTAAACAGCAAAATGTGGAGACCATAACTATGCATTTAGGTGAGTGGACAGAGACAAATAATGAATGAACACAAAAAGAATGGTTGGATAAATCAAACAATTTATCGTCGTCAGGAAATAATGTTTTATCTTATTTAACCCATTGTACTGTATAAATTGATGAGGTATGTTCACTGTCGTGTAAACCACTATAAGTAAATTTGTGTGGTAGAAAGTTTATGCAAACAACAAATAAAGGCCTACATAAACTTTTGACATCCTCTTATAGCAGGAAATCATGTTTTTTTATTGTACGGAGCAAAGGAGGATATACATTCTTAAATTATGGGCTATGAAAAACATTTCTTAATATGTCATACATCATTTGAAAGATATTTCTAATCTATAAATTGCAACAAAATTGTAATTAACACTTAAATTTACATTTTTTAGTTATTCTTAGACATTTTTGAAATAGTAGTTTTAGCCATTAATTCTCAGGAATATGTTGCTTCACATTGATATTCACATTATATAGAGGTATAGAGGGTTAACTGAAATTATAAGATTTAAACTGTTGTCCTCCTGGCCTGCAGGCGATTTCTGATGACAGTAAGGCAGGCCCTAGTCAGTCAAGTGAGGATCTGCAGGAGGGCAGCCACAGTAGAAAATATGTCGTTGTTATTTTATTTTTATTTTTTGCACATAGGTTCTTTGCTTTTTTGTTCATAATGATAGACTTTGTATGCTGAGATAAGCAAATGTTTAAATAAAACATACTTTGCTGAAGACATGAAGATTTGGTGGGTGATTGGCATACTATCAGGCCTTTGTTTACCTTTGTTCATTGTTGTTTATCCATGATTTCAAACAAGAATCCCCCAATGGCTTTTTAGTGCAAATCATTAGCCCAAATTACATAAAGAAACTACTTGAGCACTAGTTAAAGCCCAAATTACGCAAAATAACGAATTGAGTTTAAATCATTTGCTGACAGCTTGGTCCCCCCCAGTTAAAAAATCCTATCTGCGCCACTGCCAACCCCATTGTGAATAATTAGGTGGTTGAGAAGGCAAAGCCCGCATATTAATGAGCCTTTCATTCAGGTATGTCACACAACAAAGAATGCAAGGACAATACACACACACACACACACACACACACACACACACACACACACACACACACACACACACACATACATACATATACATATAAAATCAAAATATAAATGAAAGTCAAAAGCACATTTTTAGTCATACCTGGAAACAAATCCTGTTCAAATAGGTTATATGGGCCATTCTACAGAATTGGTTCAAAGTTAGAGTTGGAAACATCTTGAAAAGAAAATTGTCTTTTTCCATAAATGTCTTGGTAGGCCAATACATTTTATCCAGTGTTGGGAACGTTACTTTAAAAAAAGTAATTAGTTATAGTTACTCACTACTTGTTCCAAAAAGTAACTGAGTTAGTAACTGAATTACTCTATAATAAAAGTAACTCGTTACCAGGGAAAGTAACTATTTGCGTTACTGTTAAAAAAAAGTTCCTATATGTCAAAGAATTTGGATTTTTTTTAAACAGTTTTCACAAGTCAGTTGAAATGAGTAGAACAGACAGGTGTTTGTACGTAACTTTCGATATTTATTGCACGTCGACAGACAGCAAGAGGTTTATCCTGCACCTCAAGTATTATCTTTGTAAGAAAAGTAAACAGTTACACCATATAAAGTGCATTTAACTCTAGCGAATTAAATCAAACTCTCTCAACCTGAGACAACTGGTCAAGTTAACAACCTGTACTTCCAAGTGTTTTGTTCACAACAAAAGTAAACTTTTAAACTACAAATTCTTAATTAAATAAATCAAACTCCCAATGTCAGACAACTGGTCTGGTAGACATTCTGTACTTCAAGTATTTTCTTCAAAAGTAAACAGTTAAATAATATAAAGTGTGTTTGCAGTAACTGTAGCAAATTAAATAAATCAAACAAACTCTAACAACCTGAGATAAATAGTCTGGAAGACATAGGCTGCTGTATTTCTTTATCTTCATTAAAAAAGTAAACAGTTTAACAAGATGGAGTGCTTTTAAAGATTGAACTTTAGCTCCTAGATATAGCTGTATCTATATATATAGTCTCCGCAACGGCGATTGATTGAAGCAAGCGTCCGAGTGAAGACTGCGCGCGCCGCGAGCCACAAGAGAACAACTGTATCCATGACACTGATCGCAGCAGCACGAGCGCTCAGCTGGATCTCAAAAACAACAGATTTAAGCGCTAGATCTCTTATTTAATAGCGAACTAAATGAATGCTCTGCTAGTTAACTGTTTTATTTATTTGTATTAGGTATCCGTTCTATGACATTAGTATATTTTTTACTAACCGTATATTTACGTATATTGCGTCGTTGTACCCAGCACTTCTGAAAGTGCACTTCTGAATGCGTCTCTGTCCCCCACACATTTCAAACCAAACTGACGCCCATGAATCAACGCATAGTAACGCACCGCATTTAACGTCCAGTAACGTTAACGGCGTTGTAACGACGGAAAAAGTAATTAGTTAGATAACCCCGTTACTGAAAAAATAACGTCGTTACCTAACGCCGTTCTTTTAAACGGCGTTATTCCAAACACTGATTTTATCATACATATTTTAAAGTTAAGGATTCATTATTTTGAAATAGCTTGCATTGGAACAAACACTATAACATCTTAGTTGATTAGTTTATTGACAAAACATACTATATATTTAACATATGAGCAGAAACTGCTAACAAAAGCTTATTTGATGTCTATTTTAGAGTTAAAACTTTATAATCTATCCAAAACTAGTCACACACACACACACAGAAACATGATTCAAATTTAAACAGTAGGTTATTTTTGCGTTTACAGACACTAACGTTATTATATATCGTGATAACAAAGCAAGAATAGCACAAGAATAAGAACACTTACAGCTCAGCTCGCTCCTCGAAGTGAAAATAAACCACCACTTGTTCTGAGGTAGGTAAATGTCCCAGGATTATTCCTCACAGCCGCGCAAGACGACAGTACATTAATCTGACTAAATATAGTGTGTTTACCGACTTTATGTGGGCGTTTACACGTCTCAATGTGTTGCTTCAGATCATTAGCGTTTGAATAGCGCGCGCTCTCTGTGTGGGTGTCACTTTAGCGGAATAATGAGATGCGAGAACGATAATGAGAACGGCTGACACCTCTCTCTTTTTATATAGATTACATAAACAGAGAATATTTATTTTAGTTTTAAATTAGATAATTTAAAGATAATTTTTTTGTATTGAAAACACTTCTTTTATTGGTCGGATGAAATATGCTAATTTTTTGAGACAGGAATTTTGGGTTTTCATGAGCTGTATGCCAAAATCATCAGTATTAAAACAATAAAAGACCTGAAATATTTCAGTTGGTGTGCAATGAATCTAAAATATATGAAAGTTTAATTTTTATCATACATTATGGAAAATATTGAACTTTATCACAATATGCTAATTTTTTGAGAAGGACCTGTAGTCTTCTCAAATCAGTGTCAATTGGGTGTCCACTGCAACAGCTTTACCAATATAATGTGAAAAATGAACTAATGATGGCAACAACAAAAAAAACACCTAGGATATATATACTTAATACTTAATTTAATTGGCTTTATGCACAGCTTCACTACTTCCTGAACTTCAGCCAGCCCTTTGTTTCCTGTCTGTCATTATTGGACAAACTGATTGATCCAGCTGTGCCTGGCCTCAGTAACAATAATCAGGCACAGCTGGATTAATCAGTTTGTCCAATAATGACAGACAGGAAACAAAGGGCTGGCTGAAGTTCAGGAAGTAGTGAAGCTGTGCATAAAGCATATTAATTCACCCATGAAGAGCATCCTGTTTTAAAACAGAAATAGTGGCAGACTAATGTCTTTTTATTCTATTGAGGGGTGTTCATCTCATTTAAGTGTAAAATAAGTTATATAGTTCATCTATATCAATTAAGAGTTATATTATTAAATGTTTCAAGCAAAAAAATACAGTCCCAACAGACTTACAAAAAAAAAAACACTGTCTGAAAAGAATGCTGTGACTATGTGGTCCAATTAAACAAGCCCCAAATCCCCATGCAATGCTGAGGGAGGGAAACATAGAGTATTTAAGAGCAGGGAAGAGTTTGCTCAGTGGTAGGGAAAGACAGAGTAGGGGACAGGTAGATAAGACAGACTGTTTCATGGGAGTACAGGAGAACTTTAAACTAAATATGAATAACAATAATTTTGCTAATTTCTTCTTGATTTTGTATGCTTAATATGTTTCTTATAGGTAATGTTTTGTCATTGTTTTGTATATATTTAAAACGTTTATATTTTTATGTATTTGACATTGAGGTTAACAAGTTTATTTTTGCTGTTTTATTTTTGAAGGTCTGTACTACACACTTTAAAAAAGCAGAATGGGTGACCAATCAAACAACAACTCTTTTACTAATTTCCAGTTAATTGGATTCACAGACCTTAAAGGGTACCGGCCTCTACTCTTCATTCCTTTTTGCATAATCTTAATCTATACATTATTTGCTAATGGCATTTTGATTATTGTCATTGTAAAACATAGAAAATTGCATGCTCCCATGTATATTTTAATTGGACTGATTGCAGCTTTGGGGATTTTTGTGCCCATTTACTTTATTCCAAGGATGTTGGTCGGTTTTTTGTTGGACTGGAATACAATTACACGACATGAATGCCTAATACAAATGTTTTGTATGCATTTTTCTGGTTGTTTTCAGTCCACCATATTGCTTGGGATGGCTGTGGACCGATATTTTGCTATTATTTATCCTTTACGTTACAATGATTTTGTAAATATGACAAACTCACTTATTTTCTCTGCAGTTCTTAGCATTCGGAACGCACTTTGCATTATTGCCATGGTTGGTCTAGTTGTGCCACTTACTTTTTGTAGAACAAATATGATTTACCACAGTTTCTGTGAGCATACATCTGTTGTCAATCTAGCTTGTAATGATATTTCTAAAAACTATTTAGCTCTTACAGTAGCTTTTGGTCTAACATCTGCTGATTGTTTTGTGATATTCTGCTCTTATGTCATCATTTTTGTAGTTATATTTCGCTCTCCTTCTGGTGAATCCCGCCACAAAGCCATCCATACATGCACCACACACATAATGACCATAGTAATAGCCTATATTAGTGTTACTGCTGCATTTGTTGGGTATAGAGTAGCTACAATACCCCGAGATATCCGTATCTTAACAAGCACAATGTATCACCTTGTTCCTGCAATATGTAACCCTATTATTTATGGTCTCAGAACCACAGAAATTAGAACTCAAATTGTGAATCTTTTTAAATTTAATAAAGTTACTACATATTGATTGTCAAATACAGTCCATGCAAGACATTTATAATAAGAGTTTTGTCATTTTCTTCTGCAAAAATGTCTATTGTAGCTTTTTTTTCTCTGTCCAGGATGTCGAAAAGAAAAATTTCCAACCAAATTCTTTTTTTTCTAGTTTGTTGTTCACCATATTGTCACGTTTTATGTGTTTTCATTCATGTCTGTATTTCTAGTCTTGTGTTTTGTTGTAAGTGCGTCGATTGGTTCTGTCATCCTCAGGTTTCCCTGCCTGTTTGTCACCATAGTTACATTGATTAGCGTTTGAGTTCAGGTGTGTTTAGTTAATAAGGCCATGTCCACACTGAGTTTTTCCTACAGCGTTTTAAAAAAAAAATCCCGTCCACACATGCTCGGTCTCCGTCTACATGAAAACGTAAAAACACACAATCAAGCGCGGTCAAGAGCATGCCACGCCAGCAGGCGGCGATATAAACCTTAACCCTAAAGCCACGTTGGCCAATCAGAAGCGCAAATCTGATGTCAAACACAGCTGATAACGGCGCACACTCTGACGTCGCAAGGCAAAAACCCCGGTTTCACTGTCTACACGACAACACTGTAACCGGCGTTTCTGAAAATCCTCACCCTGGCAGGGGTTTTCAAAAATGTTCGGTTTCAGTGCGTTTTCGTGTGGACGAACGGCCGAACCGCGTAAAAAAAGTCACGGTTATAAAAATACCCGTGTCCGTGTGGACAGGGCCTAAGTCACATTAGATCCTCTGTTTGCAGTGTAAGCCCTGTGTGTCTTTCTGTTCAGGGTCAGTTCTACGTTTTGACTACGTTGTGTTGTTAAGTCCTTATTCCAGAGAATCTCCAGTGTTTTGTAAAGTTTTTGAGTTTGTTGAATAAGTTTAATAAAGACAAGCTGCTGCATCTGGATCCTGACAACTTCCTTTGTAGGCCTACTGCAACCAACGTTTTGTGACACATGCAAACCCTGTTTAAACACTTAGTTTACTGATAACTGGGCCATTCCACCTATGGGGACATTTGCTTCTTGTAGCTCTTCAAAATTAAACTCTGTTATCTTTTTTCAACACTGAATCTAATACTACAAGTTTAACTATTCAAATGTGTATTGGTCAATCTCAGGCAACTTTATTAAATTTTTTACAAGGTTTCTAAGCAGAAGATAGACGCATGTCCTGTTACCGAAACTGCCATTTAAAACACGTTTAAAAGCATTTCAGTTAATTCCTTTGTTTTCCCCACAAGAAAGTGTTTATTTGAAAGAAATTGTTGGTTATTTGTTCAAATAATTGATATTTGTGACAACAAAATAAATCACTATAAAAAACACAACGCTTTTTCATTTTAAAGAAGACCAAAGCCTCAAGTTTTTAAAATTGTTTTATAATTTAATTTATTAAACAATTGTATAATTGGTGGAACAAACAAAACTGAAAAAAACATTGGTTTAACTTGATTTTTTTAGACAAATAAAATGTAGGAACAGGAATGAACATTAACAGGAATGAGTGTCCATATGTGTGTGAATGTGTGTGTATGAGAGAGAGTGTACATGACTGTGTGTGCATGAGATTTCTGTGTTGAAGTGATGTACTATGTGCTTGTTGTACTCCACAGCGAAGGAGGTGGAAAGAGAAGGAAGGAGAGAGAGGGGGCGAGGGAAGTTAAGACAAAAAGGGGGGAAAGAGAAGGTTGCGGGTGTGTCTCGCTCCTTCCCTTGCAGTATCCCATAGGTGGGTGTTTCTGGCACCTGCATAGTATGGGTTCTCTCCATCTTCTACAAAGTATAAGAAAGACAAAGACAAAAAGTTTAAGTCACTTTGTGGTTGACAGGCTCCCTGGAAGTATGGTATTCACATTGTAAAACTAATACTAATGTCAATTTAAGTAATTGAAACCTTAAAACTATAATTAGTAGTTAACACTATGAATAGTATTATAACAACTAATATTTACAGTATTAAAAAAAACAGAGGAATCTACTCACTATTTTTTCATGAGTAATAGGACTGAAAGTAACAAGATTGAGTTTTTACTCAATAGTTTTTTCACTATTACAGTTCTCAAGGTTTACTAATGAGCCTGAAAAGTGTTGATTATAGCATTATATTCAGATCTATAGCATTATATTTATATCATGGCATGAAATGTTGCAGTGATGAGCACTGTAGTCGATCACAGACATGTTGAGCGCATGAATGCAGTGATCTCGTCACTGCAACTCGATTTCTGCATACTAACGAATGCTTTCATCATAACTAACAGTTACAAATACAACTAACAAATACAATGTAAATAAGAGATCTGTTGATTATAGCGGGAGTTTTGGCGAGAGTCCAGAACTCAGTCACTAATAAACTAACACTGTTTGATTGACAGCTCCAGCGAATGTAAAGGGAGTGTTCTTTAACCGCTTTCTAAATTCTAAAGCGTTGCGGCTTCTTCCGACCGTGTTAAAGACCAGGTGTTTGATTTATCTGGCTCCGAGGAGTTCAACACCAAATCACGTGGATATGGGGATTCGCCACCCCATATTCCAGTTATTGAGGAGTTGCTGGAGATTGTAAACAGGGCAGTGGCTAAATTAAATGTTGAATGGCCATTTAATAAGCAGGAAGCGACTAAGAAAAATAAAATGAATGAGCGCTTCCTGCAGACCCAGTCACAATCTTCGTGTCAGAGCCTTCCCTTTTTCACTGATCTCCATACTGAGGTATCGAGATCGTGGAAAAATCCATGTTCATCTTAATTATTTTCCTCCATGTATATATTTACATCTATTAGGAAATCTAATAAGAATGGTTAGGAGGTGATGCCTCGGGTAGAGGAATATTTAGCAAAATATTTTCTCCCCGACATTGCGTCACCCTTGATAGCTCAGACACTTCCCTCCAAATCTCGTACATCGAATTTGTTAGGGAAAGCATATATGGCGGTGGGTCAAGCCGGTGCATGCCTACACACGATGGGGTTATTACAGGCATACCAGGCTGACCTCCTCAAAGAGGTGGATGATAACTGGGAGGTCTCACTCGACGGTATTACTGAATTTCGTAGAGTGGCTAACTTATCTCTCCATATTATTAAAGAGACGGCCAGTGCCATTGGCCGTTCTATGGCAGCACTAGTCGTCTCAGAGAGACATTTATGGCTAAATCGCTTGGGGATCGGGGAGAAGGACAGGGCCTTCTTTCTCGATGCCCCCCTTTCGCCTTCTAGCCTCTTTGGCGACGCGGCAAGAACCGTTATCGAGAGGCTTCAGGAGGCAGAGCGACAATCAGATATCCCCAGTTGTCAGTCCAGGTCTCATGTGGTTGCTGCCAGGGGGCAGCCTCATGGGACAGCCGCCAACTCCTCATATTTGTTGTGCCCTCTCGTGGCCCCCCATATAAGGCTTGGGGCCAGAGGAAACATTCTCGCACAAAGCTCTCCATACCGAAGTCAGGTCTGAGGACTGTCTCTCGGGTTAAGATGGCCCTGACCAAGAGGTCTTGTCGTAACACGCGGACCCTTATGGGCGTTAACCCCAGGAGGGCGAGTACAAGAGTCTCGCCCCCTTATGCAGCCTTTAGGAAATCGATGTTTGCTTGCCGCCGCCGATGGCGCCCTGGGACACATCGGCTTCCAGCGAACACAAATTGCAGTGTCCGCCCGTAGACGTTGCGGCCCTGTCGAGTTCGCCGCCCCTCAGGAGGTCTGTAGAGAGCATATTTCAGTTATTGCCTGCCAGTTAGCTGCTTCAGGTCACCGAAGCCATTTGGAAATTTATAGCCGAGGCCAGTCTCGAGGGACTGGTCCCCATAATGGCATATCTAGACACCCCGAAGGGTCTTCAAAATACAGCCTAGGGGGTCCTGCTTATAGTGGAGCTAATATAAAAAATATGATCTACTAGGGGTGGTACACATGTTGGCCAGCCCCGAGCAGGGTCTGTTCTTGGAACAGGAAGTCTAGTCCCTCTTAACACAGGAGACCTCAACGTGGGCTCTTCTTCGGTTACGGGAGCCTGGGTTCTACAGCCGGCACTTCATTGTTCCTTCATTGGGCCTGGATGCCATGGTACAGATGTGGCCGAGGTCACGTCTGTATGTGTTTCCCCCGATCACTCTGCTCCCTGGGGTTCTGGAAAGGGTCAGGAGGTACGGCGTGAGTTTATTCCCTGTAGCTCCGTACTGGCCGGCCCGAATTTGGTTCTCGGACCTTATAAATCTCCTGGAGAGTCCTCCCTGGCGAGTCCCTATTAGGAGAGATCTTCTTTCCCAGGCCGGTGGTACAATATTTTATCCACGGCCAGAGTTATGGAGACTATGGGTCTGGCCCCTGAGGGGGACCGACCCATAAATAGGTTGCCCTTTCTATCGAGGTGGTTAGGTCATCCATTCTAGAACCCCACTCTACTAGGAACTAAATATTTTTAGAAGTTAGGTATGGCATTGAACCAAGTGTAGTGATAATCAGATAGGTAATCGAGCCAGCTCTGGTATGTGGAGTAAATTAACTCGATTCTAATTTCCTAAAGTCTCTTCCATTCGTGAAACAAAGGGGACAGTGTTTTGAATTGATTAAATCATTGACTCCATTCGCACATGCAGCGTCTTCTCTGATGAATGAACAACGAAGTGCTTTGCTTACGAGTTGAGCCAGCTCTGGACATGTGACTCGAGATGACATCTCGTGAGTCCGGCCGAAGACCACGCGACCCCTTAGGGTCTCCTCTGTTTTAATCACCTCACACACAGAGCATAGTGTAATAACGTGATCACCACCACTCAAATGATTAAACTCATCAACTCAGAGGAGTACGCACACACACGAAACTCCCCGGAGGGGGAGTGAGCGAGAGTCCACCACCCCGGCAAACTCTAACTGAACTCTGCTACACACACACACGCAGAAACACTCATTCATGAACTTTTAAATGCCTACCTCTTTAAACGTATGAAGTGTTTCTCTTGTTGTGTTTTACAATCCCCATGTGACCAAATTGATGTACCTATAAGCTTTTATGGTATGTAATCA